AAATATAATGGCCAATACTGTGTGCTGATCATTTTACTTGTATATAAATAGGTCTGTAGAAAAATTCTGTAGAAGTGAAATTTCCGGGCCAAAGAACACGAACGGATGTAATTATTTTTTCTTTTTGATGGTACTGAGGTTTGAACATGAGCTCAGGCAGATGTTCTTGCTAGGCAGATGCTCTACTGCTTGAGTCACACACCCAGTCCTTTTTGCTCTGGTTATTTTTGAGATAGGGACTCACTTTTTGTCTGGGCCAGCCTGGACCACAATCCACCTACTTATGCTTCCCTCAGTAGCTGGGATGAAAGGTACATACTACCACACCCAGCTTTTTCTGTTGAGATGGGGGTCTCATGAACTTTTCTGCCTGGGTTGGCCTCAAACTATGATCCTCCCAATCTCTGCCTCCCCAGTAGCTTGGATTACAGGACAGGCATGGCCACGGTAGTAAGTTTGATAACCATCCCTGAAAGTTTATAGGGTTACAAAGCCCACCACAATTCACCAGTGTATGTTGAGCAAACCACAAGACTAATTACATTGTACCCCATGCTGATCTGGGTTTGTAACTGGACAGAAAGAAATAATCAGGAGAAAAGCTGTCTGGGAAATCCAAGAAGCAATTAACACCAGCCACTGTGCCACCAGAGGCTCCTGATCACATTGCAGTCATTGTACCCAGTGCTGTGTGCTTTCAGGCAGGGACTGGATTATTCATGATGGTGGAAGGCTTTCATAGGAGGGAGCATCTCCCACACCACTTAGCATAGCTCACAGGGAGCCTATGCTTCTCTCACATGGCTTCTGAGATGTCCTTGGACTCTGCCCAGGATGCCAAATGACACGATCCCTGGGGATGTCATTCATATTGTGGCCTATAGGAATGGAGCAGTGCCATTCCTGTGGCAATGCCCTGGCACTCTACGGTACCATTCTAGGGTTTCCAGGGCCCCCCGTATCTTCAAGTCTGGGCTGAAACAGCCACACCTCTGCAATGGCCCTCTGCACCGTGTGGACTATTGGACGGCTGTTTCTGAGAGTGGGTCCACCCTTTCTGCAGATGACCTGACAGAGTTACAAATAGATCCACACCCCAGCAGTCTCACTTGCCTCAAGTGGCACAGACTGTTCCAAGGCCCTTGCTGAACGAGTTTGGTCTTCCCCACTCTCCATTCAACCCAGCTCTCAGGGTCAAGGGCAGGAGCTGCTCCATGGACTTGCTCAGTAGACATGCTGTCAGGATGGGCTCCATCCAGACCTAGAGGCCAGAGTCAGATGGGCCAGGGGCTGCCCTGTGTTGGTTTGGGACACTTGGCTTCTCTAAAGTCTTCTGGGTTTCATTTTTAGGTCTCAGCCTCATGAAGACTTTGGCCTCTGCAAATGCTAAGGTGAGTTCCTACAACTTCCCGAATGCCTGGGACGTGGTTTGGAAAAAGAGCAGCCCTGTTGTTCAATGTGCCCATCGACCATTCCTTACCCATTTGATTGTCAAAGATGACGTCTGACAAACATGGTATGAAAGAAACTCTCCGAAGCAAAGTGGACATAATGGATATGTCCACTTTGGAGAGTATTTTGGCTGAAGTTATGCACACCCTTTGAGACAGCAATTGCACCCCACACATATACACCCTAGAGAAACCCGTGCACACAAATTACCTGTGTAATGATGTTTATTTTAGTCTTATTAGCTATGGTGAAAACTGAGAATCACTAAATGGTCATCAACTAAAGAATGAATAAGTAAATTCTCCTTTAGTCCTATGGTGCAATACAACAGAACAGTGAAAATCAATTTAAGTAAATCTTGAAAGCAGCGTGAAGCAAAATAAAAAGCAAATCACAGAAAGATGCCTACCATGTGATTCCATTTATGTAAAGTGTAAGAGTATGCACAAAAAAAAGTTATTATTCATGGAAATGTATATGCATTATGAAGAATGGATTAGCAAGCTAATTAATTCCAAGTTCAGGTTAGTGCTTGCTCTGGCCTGAATGTTGGTGTCTCCCCCAAATTCACGTTAGATCTTAATACCCAACGCAGTAGTGTTAAGAGGCGAAGTCTCTGGGAAGCGATTAAGTCACAAGAACTCCACTCTCTAGCAAGCTCCTTTATTCTTCCACCACATAAGAAGCAGTAAGTAAAAAGACTGAGCCCTCACCAGGTACGGAATCTGCTGACCCCTTCTTCCTGACCTTCCCAGTCTCCAGAACCACGGGCAATAAGGTTCTGCTGCTAAAAAATTCCCTGGTCTGGACTGGATGTGTGGCTCAAGCAGTAGAGCACCTGCTTTGTAAGCTTGGAGTCCTAGTTCAAACTCCAGTCCCACCTTCCCCCCTCCAAAAAAAAGATAAGTTACCTGGTCTAAGTATTTTTGTTACAGCAGCAAGCGTAAACTAAGACACTGGCTACTTTTGGGAAGGAAGGGAACAGAATTAGGGAGGGTTACACAAACACTTTAATGGCATCTATAATATTTTGTGTCTTAGAATGTTTATTGCCTGGCACCAGTGGCTCACGCCTGTAATCCTTGCTAATTGGGAGGCTAAGATGGAAGGATCACAGTTTGAGGCCAGCCCAGGCAAATAGTTCATGAGACCCCCATCTCCAAAATAAGCAGAGCAAAATGGACTGGAGGTGTGGCTCAAGCAGCAGAGTACCTGCTTTGGAAGTGTGAGGCCCTGAGTTCAAATGCTGCCCCCCCACACAAAGTGTATTATATTATTAGATGTGTGTTTTTTCACTGAAAAAGCTTTGCTATTTTATTTTTTAGAAAATTTATTAGCATAAGTTGTACAAAGGGGTTCATTGTTGTATCTACACACACACATATAATGTTTTGTAATCAAATTCATTCCATCAATATTACTCTTCTTAACGTCCTTCCCTTCTTCTTCCTCCTTTTAACCAGTTTTTAGTGGGTTCCTATGCTATTTTCATACTTATATATAGTGTACTTATATCACTTCCATCACCCTTTACTTTCCTGCTCCCCCTCTCAGTGGCTCCCCTCCCCAACAGTACCCTTTTCACAATCATGCCATATTACTATTTTGGGGGTATAGATTCCACATATGAGTGAAAACATCCCATGCAATATTTGTCTTTCTGAGCTTGGCTTTAGCTGTGTTTATATGCCTAAGGTATTTCAACATTAAAGGAACATTTTAAAGAGTGTGGAATCCATAGAGGGTGGCACTGTGCACACTGGGTCCAGGGGCCAGTTCCAGCAAGACTGTTCTGTGGGCTTCTAGAGTTACGTACCCCGGGCTCTAACACTTAAGGGCCCATCTGGAGACCTTGGTGAATGTCCACATTTATAAGCATCACCAGCTCATCAGATCCCCTCGTGAAACTCTGTAGAGTACAACTCAAAGATTCAAGTGTCCACTTGAGACTTGTCATGAGTCTATGGCTAACAGTGAAGGAAGTCATTAGAAACCATTAGATTTCTTCTCTAGGTCGCTTATCTTATAGAAACCAGACATTTTTTCTTCTCTATCAGATGTTACATGTTCACAACCCTCTGGCCAGCCACCTGGCTTGGGGACTCATTTATATGCCTCTGTAGATTCACTATGTGCCACACAAAGGGGGCCTTTACGGGGGTCATTAGAAATCTTAGAAGTTCAATTCAAGGCCACCAAGACCAGTTCGTGAGATAGTGTGGGGCTCAGCCAAGCCTACCCTCCAAACATCAGGCGCCTGCTCACAGCAGCAGAGCTGATGTTGGGAGGGACTAGGGATTTCACAATCCCTGTGTCATCCTGTGTGAACTGTCTATGAAGGACTGTGTGCGTGTGTGTAAACATGTGCAAGGTACACTATTGAACACGGAAGCCTCAAGCTGGTCTGACTGAGCCTGTGGGCTGGGTTTCTGCAGGCCCTTGTGGGCTGCTAGGTCAGCTGATATCAGGAGGTAAAAGTCTCAGCCTGACCAGCTGGAGTTGCTAATGCCCACTGCATTAAGGCCAATTGGAGGGCATGTCACTCTGCATTTCAGATTCTCATGCACGTTGTGCCTAGTGGTCAGAGGGTCATAGACAGGCAGGCCACCTTCAGGAAAACTGGGTGTATCTTCGGGATGCCTGCATCTCGGTGTACCCTCTGTGAAATGTGAACTTATAATTCGTGGACTACTGAAAGAACTGAGAGGAGGTGTGAATGGGTTCTTTGTTCTCTTGATTTGGGTAAAAACCTGGATTTCTAGTGGGGGGCTCTGTTCTCATAGGCATTTTTTTTTTGAGGTACTGGGGTTTGAACTCAGGGCCTACACCTTGAATCACTCCACCAGCCCTTTTTTATAATGGGTTTTTTTCAAGATAGGGTCTCGAGAACTATTTGTCCTGGCTGGCTTTGAACCAGCGGCGATCCTCCTGATCTCTGCCTCCTGAGTAGCTAGGATTACAGACGTGATCCGCCCTGCCCAACATAGGCGTCTTCTTGGTTCCTGCTGTCACAGATCCATGAAGTGAAGTCCCATGAATGAAAGAATGAAGGAAGCTACCTGACCCACCACCTGCCCTAGGCCAACATGACTTCCCACAATTTCCTCACACATGCCCAGTGCTTTTCCACGCCCTTGCTCGTGTGTCACCTTGGTAACAAAGTCCTCCTGGCACTCACTGAAATCCTACCTGCTCCCTAAGGCTCATTTCAGATGTTACCTCCTCCTTGAAGCTTTACCACATTTCACCCAAACGGATGTAATGGCCTTCTCGTTGGAACATTGAGAGCAGGGCTCATGGTCCCTTCCCTGTGCATCCTTCCCAGGCCCATCACGATACCCAACACACAGCAGGGGCTTGGCATGTGTTAAATTGGATGAAGTTGGGCTGGCAGAGTGGCTCAAGCAGTAGAGTGCTTGCCTGGCAAGCATGAGGCCCTGAGTTCAAACCCCAGGACCACCAATTAATTAGTTAATTAGTTGCATGAAGTTGACCAGGCCAGTGGACCTGCCAATGCTCTCCAGCACACAGAAGCCCCAAACCCTTACCTTGGGCGTGAACATGTGCAGGATGCCATCAACCGCCCCTCTCAGCAGCAGCCCCCGGACCAAGAAGCAGGCCAGCACCACGTAGGGGAAAAGGGAGCTGAAATACATCACCTGCAGAGAGGACAGGGACCCACTGTCAGGCAGCACCCCTTCTGCAGCTGGCATCCCCTCTCCCTACTCACAGCTGGGGCCCATGAGTCTCCTCTGATATCACGCAGCAGAAAGCAGAATCTTGGAGCCCCTGGGCACAGGGCCAAACCCACCACCCATCTGGCTCTGAGCCCAGGCAGAAGCAGGAGCAGGACAAGCTGGAGTCAGCATGGCTGTGCCTGGGCTTTATGGGCCTTCCAAGGGCTGGCACCACCGTTAGTGGTCCCCACCTCCAGGACCACTGTGAGAAAACCATATTCTCCCTCCTCATCTTCCCATGTGCCCTCTCGGGCCCCTCAAGGATCTCACTTGTCCTTTGACAGAAAGTAATTTGGAGGCCAGACAGGGCTCTCAAGCAGAGCCCATCAGAAGAATGCCTCACCCTTGTGATCCTAAGTACATGCTGATTTCTACCACGCGATTGTCTGGTACATTTCCACTGCCCTGGTACTGAGCTACACACCAAGTACCTGCCCACAGACACCCGCTGCACTGAAACAATCCCAGGCCTGGTGAGGGCAAGACGGTGCGAAGACTAAGAGGATCCTGTGCCGAGCCGACTGCCAGAGCACTGATCTGCCTCTACCATTTACCAAACATGCAGCCTCAGGCTACTCCCCATCTCTAAAAAAGGGTGTAGTAATTCCTAACTCATAAGGCTGCTGAGAACCAAGTGTGCCCATACAAGTGCCTTGAAGTGTCAGCTACTATTTTGGCCTCCATAAAAGGAAGAGGTGGGTAGCTGGAATGGCACCCTCTTTACAGAGCTTCCTTGCTCCTCAAACCTGGCACACAGTCTGCAGCCTCAGCCAGCCAGCCAGGGCTCAAGGACTACCCAGTTCTGAGACTGACTGGCTGCAATGCATTAGGCAAGGTGCTGTTCCCTCTCTGGACCTTGGTTTCTTTATTTGTAAAATGAGTGGATGAGGTTATAGGATGCCTAACATCCTTTCCATTCCTGGCAGTCCATGAATATTGATAAGTGACTGATAAGAAAGTGCTTCTCTGATGATTGCCAGTGTCTCATGCCTGTAATCCTAGCTACTTGGGAGATCAAGATCAGGAGGGACTCCAGTTCAAGACCAGCTGGGGCAAATAGTTTGCAAGACCCCATCTCAACCAATACTTGGGTACAGTGGCACTCAGCTGTCATCCTAAACTGTGCAGGAGGCTGAGATTGGGAGGATCATGGCTTCAGGTCAGCCTGGGCAAAAATGTTCATGGGACTCCATCTCAATGGAAAAAAGTTGGGTGTGGCGCGTGCGTTCGTCATTCCAGCTATAGTGTGAAGCAGTTCATGCAGGTCTGGGCAAAAAGTGAGACCCCCACCCCCCACCATCTCCAAAATAACTGGAGCAAAAAGGGCTGGAGGCATGGTTCAAGTGGTAGAACACCTGCCTAGCAAGCACAAAGCCCTGAATTCAAACCCCAGTACCACCGAAAAGAAAAGGGGGGAATCTCTCTTTGAAGGGATTTGAACTGCTGGGAACAGTGTGAGCTTGGCTGGTGGACACCCTTGGAGACTGGACTACTGGACAACTGGCCCCTTGGGGGTCTCCAAGGACCTTCACTCAGAGTACCCACCAGCTCTTTTCACCAAAAATTGCTCAGAGCAGGCTATGCTTAGGTTTTTGCTTAAGAACATGGACAGGCAGAATCTAGACAGACATTGCTGGGTCAATAATTCTAATTTTCCTTCTCTTTAATGTTCACAGAGCAGGCCTGAGTTATCTGGGCTCTGAGGTGGATGGGGGTCAGGACAATGACTGTCCAGCAAGCCTACTCTTGATAGGTTATCCAGAGCAAAGGGTACTGTAACGCTTACATCTCCACCTCCCTCTGAGGCCTGTGCCATCATGCTGAGCCACCTGAAGGGCACTGCTTTAGGGATCCAGAATCCTCAGTTCCTGCCCTCTTTGTCTTTCTGCTGCCCTCCCCCAACTCACCTTGCCCGAGGACTGGATGCCCTTGACAACGGCCATGCCCACGATGCTCCAAGCCACAAGGAGGCACAGCGTCATCTTCCAGTTAAGGCCCCCACTCTCTGAGATGGAGTTGGAGATGTCCAAGGCCTCTCGGTACCAGAAGTAGGTAGTGGCTGAGCTCTTCTCACACTCTAGCTCCACTACTGAAACCGCAGCAAAGGCCACAGGGCCAATGGGCCACCTCCTCTGTGGGACCCGGCTCAGGCAACAGCGGGTGAGGGCAGGGCCAAGGGTGGGCAGCCAGAGGGGTTATGCTCATTCTGGGTGACCTGGATGAATCCTGGGTCCCTGATGGGGCCTGAGAGGTTTGATCTGGCCAAACTGCCACCTGTGCCACCCTCCTGCCCTTTCCATCCATGGAAGGTAAGAAGGATTAGGCTGAACTGGCCTAAAGGTACTTGGGGGAAGGTCCTGATTCTTGTCCCAGACTTTTGTCCCAGATCATGGATGGTGTGAACATGGAAAAGTAGTTTCAAAGCCTCTGTTTTCCCATCTGTGAAGTGGGATGATCACCTAGCCCTTTGTAAGACTGGCATGGAAATGAAGATTGTTCTCAAATATATGGTGTTAGAATAACACTAACTAGTTCATAACAGCAAACAAAAGCCACAGAGTTTTACCTACACTCACTATTTTATTCAATTCCCTAAGAATCCTATAGGCCAGGCCAAAAAGGGTTCATTCTCACTGGGGAAGGAGAAGTGAGAATCAGGGTGGTAAGTGATTTGTTCAAGGTGGCACAATAAGTCAATAATCCCAAATCTGAGTGCTAAGCCTGTTAGACTCTGTCCTGGGACAGGGCTGGCTGAAGTTCCCAACTGAGTCCCTCAATGGGCCCACACTTGCCTGTTGTGGTCCCATTCCTGACGACAGGACATTCACTCCAGGGCAGTGGGTACTGGAAGGATTTGAAGAAGTAGAAGATACTCCATCCAATGATCACATTATAATACAGCCCGACAAAGAGGCAGACCTGAGGACAAAGGCCCAAGGTGAGGTCACCGAGGCTGCAGGCAATGCCATCCCACCCTGCACTCCAACCAAGGCCCAGCAGCACAGGCCAACAACAAGAGCCCAGCTGCACAGCACTGAAGGAGGAAGATGGGAGATGAGGTAAGCAGTTGAGGGAGTGCCTGTCCCCTATGCTCCACTCACCTGCTACTCAGGCAATCCGTAAAGGCATGCTTGGGATATTAACAATTTCTCCTTTAAGCAACAAACTCTAGCACATCAATCCTTTCTAGTTTGAAGTTCCTCTAAAATACTTGAAGCTCTTCCCCATCATTTCCTGGTGACTCAAAATTCTAATTAAAAATACCCTGCAGGACCACAGAGGCACGTGTAGTTTTTGCCCTTATAGGAAATGGCCCCAGATGGCTGTGCTTTTTGAGGCTTACTGGTTTCCTATGTCCTCTCTTCTCTCAGGATATTCACTGTCTCTTTGGAACTGCTAGCAGCCTGCCTCTAGAAAGACATCACTTTTCACTTCTTGGAAACCCCATCACTAACTTGGTAGAATTTTATTTAAAATGAACTCTGACCTAGGATGTGGCCATGTTTTACGGCCAGGGTTTGCTGATTCCTCTCTTGGCTGTCAGGGGGTCCCTTCCAGATGCCTGGCAGTCTCAGGCAGAGGTGAGATTGCTGTTCAACACCAGAACCGAGGCCTCCTTGTCTCATCCATTCCACCTGAGCACCTGTGTGCAGGAGCTCAGGGAGGGAATGGAGTAGAACAGAAACAAGAGAGTCACCCACTCCCTTTATTTGGGTGCTTCCAGTGCAGGTGGACACCCACACACGCTTCTGATGTGCACACAGCACAGTACATGGCAGTCGGCCGTATCAACCTGTGCAAAGGTGATGACCAGCATGACAGCAGAGGCTGACAGACCTTCTCCTGGTCTCTTCCTGGGGCAGGTTTGGGGTGGCCCTGCTCCAGACCGACAGAATCCTCAGTCCCTTCCAGAAGCAGATTCCAGGTTTTTCCCTCCTAGGTATGAGTATGGGCACCTATGGGCTTTGCCCTTACCCAGGGGGCTCAGCGGAGTATCACCTGCAACCTCATCGAGGAGCCTAGATCCAGCATGGAGTTCCCCATCCAGGGGTCTCCTGTCTCCCAAAACCTGTGCCTCCTGGGTTGACCATCAGGCTCCTGTCTGAGTTCCCCAACTGCTCATTTGCACAGCACAAGGCAAGGGGGCCCTGAACCCCAAGACTGCCATTTCTTGAGCCTTGTAATTGCCCAATTAAAACACTCTTTGCCCAAACTAAACAGAACTTTCTCAAAAGAAGAAATTCAAATGGCCAGAAAACACATGAAAAAATGCTCACCATCTCTAGCAATAAAGGAAATGCAAATT